GGTGTGCCTCTGATTTGTTGGTATATTTGTCCATCAAACTGAAAATAGGTAATGAGGCAGATGGACCAGCAACTCCATCGCTAAGCAATGTGGTTGTTAAGTGAGACAGCATGTGACCATGGCGGATTTACAACCTCATTTCTGCCATGGTTATTAAGCAAATCATTCACAATTGTTAAGTGAGACATCACGTGACCATGACTTGTGATTTTATTGCCGGCTTCTCCATTGACTGCTTGTTGGAAGCCGGCTGTGAACCATGCAGATGGTGATCATGTGACTGTGGGATGCTGCGACAGTCGTAAATGCCCCTGGTTGTGAAGTGTTGAATTTCAATCACATGACCATCGGGATGCTGCAACAGTCATAAGTGTGAGGACCGGTCGTAAGGTTACTTTTTCAGTGCTGTCATAACGTCAAACAGCTGATAAACAGGGGAATCGCTAAGCAAGGACTACCTGTATTTTACTGACATCTGATTAGTTCCTTCTTTCTTGATCTCGCACAGCTGCATGGGGCTTGAAGTAGAAGATGGCAGTGTATGTCAATAGCTCTGCATCAAGATAGAACAAGTTATCAAGTGGCATACCATAGGGGTCCATTTTAGACAGGTAACAAATTATGCTAATGAGAGGTCATAAAATTAGCACAATGATAGGAAGATATCAAACATTTTAAAGGACAGTCTCTAGATTTAGGAGGATCTTGACAATCTGGAATAAGCAGAAACTAAGAAGGGGATTTTCAACAGGGAAAAATATGAGTAGGAAAAATCAAAGGCATGAGTATAGAATGAGGTTGGTCCATACTGGGCAGTGGTACACACAAGATGTACAGGCAAAAGTGTCTTGATGCATCACAAACTGAACATAAGCCAACTATTTGATGCATGTGCAAAAAGAGCAAATGCAATCTTCAGTTACATCAACAGAAACACTGTCCAAATCAAGAGACATTAGCTTTTCTTGCTATTCTGAACTGATCAGACCTAAAATATTTAGTTTTGAGCAATACATTTTAGTAAGGATGTTGGCAAACTGGAGTGTGTCTAGAAAAGAAGAGGCAATAAGGTAGAGACCTTCTAAGGAAAAACATAAGAGTAATTGTTGAGGATATTGAATATGTTTAGCTAGGAAAATAGAAGACTGCAGGACAACATGATAGCTGTCTTTGAGTATCTGAAGGGCTGTCATGTAGTAGAAGGGCAGAATTATTTAACATTGTTCCAGAAGATAGAACAAAAAACAGCAGGTTTAAATTACAAGGAAACTGATTTGGAGTGGAAATTGGCAAAAAAATTCTAACAGTAAGAGCTGTTCAACAATGAAATAGACTGCTTTGAAAGGTGGTGGACTCTCTTTTGCTGGAGGTATTCAAACAGGTTGAATTACCAACTGTCAGGTATGCTATAATAGTGGATTCCTGAACTGGATTCCAGGGTTGGACTAGATGATCTCTAATGTCCCCTCCAACCTTTATATTCTATGATACTTGGCAACCTGTATGTTTTCTGTCTGAAGTGAATTTATGCGGAGAAGCATTTCTTTAGCAACTGCCCACTTTTAGTCTTAAGGTATATATTTATATTCATGATCTTAGTAAAAATAAGGATTACATTAGCCTGATTTGCTAAGAAAGACAGAATTTACCATGAATTTCTATTCTTTGAGTCAAATAAGCAGAACTCAGGACACTTGCTCCTAGAGCTTGTTGTAGGAATCAATCTTAAAATGCTTCTTCTGGTGGGAAGATAATCCTGTCTCTTGGACCAGACAGGGAAAATAATAGTGCTTCTTGACTCCAGGCAAATCTTAAAAACTACTATAGCAAGCCATCACCATCCCAAATTCAGTTCAAAGAATAGAAACTCATGTGAATAAATTTCTGTTTTTCACTGATTTTCACAAAAGATATTCTATGTATCAGGATACAGCAAATGTCCTAGAATCAAATGTTTCTGAAATAAACATCTTCCAAAAGCTGTAGACACTGGTAAATACCTGTGAATTATAATTCTTTGCAAATATATGCTCTGATGTTCAAATGGCAGCTGTTCAGATCTTCTCTGTAAAGATATTTCTCTGCAAGGCTGCTGATATTACTGTCTCACTCTAAAGAAATGACCCATAATACTGTAGTTCTTGGTGATAGTTTCCCCAGACAGAATCTGCTTCAATGACCTAGTCTTTCAGGCAGTGTGAAATAGTGCTCCCGTCAATAAGTTCTCAAAAGATGTAAACAAGTTTTCAGATTTTCAGTTTTTTATCTTACCAAATAGGAGTGGTATGCGATGGATATATCTAACAACCATGAAGGAGACAAAGATTTGAGCCAAACAATGGTAAGGGAAATGATTGTGTTATTTTTTAATTTGCTCCTCCAGAGGAGGAGGAACTGAGAAGAACTGGACCTGCATACAGGACTGGAGAAGAACAGATTTTGATGAATTCTGAGGGGAGTTAGACTGGATCCAATAGCTTGAAAACCTGAAGGTGAAAACTATCCAAGAAAGATGTTAAATCCCACTAAATGAAATACTGAAGTCACAAGTACAAACAGTTCCTAGAAGGAAGAAAATGAAAGAAATCTAAAATGACTAGTGTGGATATATGTAGAATTCTCTGAAATATTGAAGAAGAAAAAGGACATGTATAGGAAATGGAAATAGAGGAAAATAATGAAAGAAGGGTACAAAAGTTGTTTCCAGGAACTTTGGACAAATCCACCCAGAATAAGAAAGGACTTATTCTCTCAGGAGGCAGGGTCAGAGTGATTGGGTTAAAAATTAGCAAAAAATTAGCTTCAGGCTAGATGTCAGGAGTGTATGCACTCTCAACCAGTAGAACAGGCTACTGCAATTCATGGTAAATTCTCCCTCACTGAAAGTCTTGCAGATCCTGCTCTGAACTAGGGATTGGACAAGATGACCTCTACAGTCATTTACAACTCTATGATTCATTATACAGTTGCTTGAGTAACTCTAGTAAATAAAAGTATCAGATATTGCATAGAAGATCCTGACTGTGTGAAAGCCTCAAGTAATGTGGTCCTGTAAGAGCCAATCATTCTGGAAATCAAGGTTGCTGCTGCTAGTGAGGATTGTTCTTAGGATTCTGAATTGTCTCATGACTTGTAGAAACATGAGCAGGAAAAGATGGGCAGCAGTCTGATTGGCTGATGAGTCACAAAAGCATCTGATCTCCTTGCCCCTAGACTTGAAAATCTAGGGGTGAATGGCAAAATTGGAGAATTATTATAGGCTACAGACCAAGCCTCCTGGAAAATTTGTGGATTGAAGGACCATTTTGCTTCCCTGAATTAAGTCAAACTGAGCCAAAGTCCACTTTCTGGCAGGTCCTACTATAGCCTTTTTGCCTTGATAGATTGCGGCCATCTCTGCACAAAGAAACAGTCTGTCCATTTCTATAATGAGATATCTAGATTATATCCCATTGTACTGCCTCTAATAGGGCTTGACTGAAATACTATCTATTTTGAAAAAACTTATTTCCTTTTGACATTATTGCAAAAAATGGCTCTAAGCACCAACTACTTGTTCAGATGCATTCCCATCTAAATAGACGCATATGTGCAAATAATATGACCTTAAAAGAAAAGAAACTTCAGAACTATTTTAACTATTTTAAACAAATGCAGTGGCCTTACTTTCAACATGTAATTTTTTTTTTCCCTTGGTAGATGAGCAAATTTTGGGGACAGCAATGGCTGATTTTACATGAAATGGAGAGCCATAATGTGGTTTGTTTGGATTATTTTTTATTTATCATATTTATATAGCCACCCATCTCTGGGCGGTGTACAACAATTAACAACAGTTTGGATTACAATGTTGCGTAAACCCAGCTATTGTGATTTGTAAACCGTAATTTATGTCTAAACAAATTGTGCAATCCAGCCAGTTGTGAACTATGTTACTATCTCTCACTCACTAGGCTTTGATGATTTGAGTTGGATAAAGTTCAAGAGAAGCCCCTTTTTGGCTGCTTTGAATGCACTGAGATAATGCAAAGGCATATTTCTTTGGTCCTAACTGAATATGGAAGAAGATGCATGTAAGAGGACCAAGAACTGAGGTTCTGGAAAAACTCACGGTGTGAATTGAAAGGGCTATATTGAAAATGTATATATTGAAAATCTCATAGCCTGAATTGAAAGTAAATTGAATTGAATTGAAATATTTACTGAAAGTATTTTCTTTTTTTGTGTGGGAATTTTTCCCCCTTTGGTATTCTAATATCATGTAAAAAATTATCTTGCACTTTTTTTTCTACCATTTACTTTGATGAAAGAAAATAGGGCTTCAGTGTTTCCTTCAAAGGAGAATAGTATTTTACTGAAATTCTTACGGAAGTATAGAGCCTAGAAAGCATCTCAAGGATAGTCTGCTAAGAAGGCTGCAGTTAATGACATTTTCCTGAAGTCACGTTCACCTGTTTTCATAGAATACCCTTTCCTGTCATTTTCTTAGGCTAGAGGTAAGTACCTGTAGTAAAATAGCTACACATTGCTACTCAGTGCTCTGTAGGCTACAGCCTCCTGAGAGTTTCCTTAATTCTCCCATTGCATGGGTCTTCATTTTCCCTCTACTCACAGGGGTGACAGTAGAGTAGTCTGAGCAGCTGCAATAGCATATTTAGATGTTCCATGATTTTAGTAGAAAATTAATGTATTTCATTATTTGGTCTGCATAACTTGCTTAATTTTTCCAGGCAAGACCCATTCCTTTCTCCATACTTTTATTAACTAAGAATCCAGAAAAGGGGAGTTACAGTGCCTTAGTTCACTGGAAAACCTGTCTTAGCACCCGTTGTGGTGGATGGAGAGGCTGCTTCAACAACTCTGAATTGAAAAATGTATTAGCAAAGTCTCTTAAGATGAAAATTGGAAATTAAATCCAATTTAATTATCCAATGATAATTTTTGCTTGACTAGTGGAAATCTCTGTATCCTCATCTTCTTACTCCTTTCAGCTCAGTATCCTGAGATAACCCTAATGCAGAAGGATGCAGGAAGTCAAATACAGAAAAAGATAATTCTCTGGTTTTTTAAGTTCTTTTTTATAAATTTTCTTATTTACTCCTCTGTATGACTTACCCTTGGAAAAGCCTTGAGACTCTGACTTCTAATAGAAGGGAATATATGTAGCTCAGGGTTGAAATGTGGAGTCCTTGGGGTTCTCTGAGCTTGGCTGTTTTCTTGCAGATGTCTGTAAGAAAACAACCAAGCTCAAAGAACCCCAAGGACTCCACTCTTACTTTTATATTTTGCTCCTGAATGAGCGAAAGAAGGAGGTCCAGGAGAAAGAAAAAGATTCAGAAAATCCTAACACCTACAAACCTGTGTGGTCTTTTCTGCTTTCAATTATTTATTTATTATTGAAAAGGGGAGGAAAAACATAGAAAGTGCTTTAACAAAAAAGTGAAATACAAAAAGAAAATGTTAATATGTCATTACAATAATAAGTACGTATAGAATTGTAAACAGTTACAGTTCTATATATACTTATCTAATGCAAATACTATTTTAGTACATACATATTTCTAATACATTTATATGACTATCATTTTTTAACATTTTTTTAACCTACTGTATTTTGTATAAATGAGTCCCATATTTCATTATACTTGTCCATACAAAGTCTACATCTATAGGCAGTCTGCTCATAAGTA